CACCATTACAGGTGCAAAAGCTCTGACATTCTTCACCATCCCAGAACTGTTCACCAGCTTGCCGATAGCGCCCTTCATGATAACATCCGCATGATGTTGGTTGGACACACTGGTTACCATTCAGAACAAACCCATCGTCACACTGACACCCATCCTGGCACTGAGTGTCACAGGTGAAGGGGAAAGAGAGGCTGGGACAGGACGATGGACATGAACTTTCACAGAGTTCATAGTGGCTGTTTGAAGGACAGGTAAGTTCTGGAAGGATGAAAAGGTACACATTTGTTTAAAATAATGAAGTTATATTTCCATTTAAAAGACCTCTCTATCAACTGGGGCAAAAAAACATACCACAGCCAGTTGCATTCCTCCATTGTCCAAGGAAAACCCCATTGTGTTGACACATCAGTGCATAATCTTGTAGGACCTCACAGAGTTTTGACGCTGGATCTCTGGAGCCCTGGAGGATCTCCACACATGCATTAACTTGCAGCCCTGGGTCCACTGCACCCCAACATGATGTAAAAGGCCCAGAGTGAGAGCTAATAACTCCACAGTACTCACTGGAACTGAAATTGGCTGCAGAGTTATGATATCTGCTTTCCACACAATGATCTGCCAGGGATCCACCTCGCCAACTGTTCCCAAACACCTGAGAATCACTGACCAGAGTGCCATTGGGTGTACGGAAATCATCATGCTGGTCATCGTTGTAATTTCCACAAAGTCCACCTAATAACCCACTGTAGACACTTGGTGCAGTGATACCCACAAAGTGAGGCCAGACAGTCTGTACAGTTACACCAAAGGCTGTACGAAGGATGATGCTCTGAGTGCTGCTTTGGAAGATGCGGATTCTGTTAGACCCAGAGCTGAAGGGTAGTCTAGTTAGCTGACCATCAACCTTTAACACATCAAAAATAAAAAATAAAAAATTTTTTCTGTGGAAAACACGAGTCAATGTGCACAGTATTTTTAAATGTATGTAGAAATTCAGAAACATTCAGCATTTATTAATTTATTCAGTAGTAGTGATACAATTATACATATTTTCCCTGCTACTTTTAACACTACCAAGGTTTTAGATCATTGTACTAAACTGTCCGTGAGATATTGTTGAAGATTCATTTCTTTTTATCGTATTCTCTGTTTTAAATAACTGTTACTATATCTGTTAATTTCTGTATCTGTCGACTTTCTGTGTAAGTTAGCCAAATGGATATACTGACTGGGGGCTTTGGGGGAGTCACCTGGTCAACCTCGCTGACTTTTGGATAAACTGAAAAGCATGTAGAAGCTCTCTGACATTTTGCTGGTTCCTCAGTTGAATGGTCAAGATCAAAAAAGGCCTGACATAGAAGGTGAGGTCTTCCTCTGCAATTTGTGCTAATATCAATGATTTTGCTAACCATGACAGGGATAAATTATGCTAATGCTTACTCATGTTTCCTTCTTTATGTACACTATTTGAGAAAAAACCCTCCTTGGATTCAGACGGGGTAATCAAAAACATGATCAAACACTATAATGGGCCAAACTTTTTAGAACAATGTTACTTGAAGCACTTTAAGCTCTGTTCTTCAACAGTGTTTGCTCATACTGTATAGTTATTCAAAGGACTTAAGAGTTTGGTTATTCTGTTTCAGCATTTGTTTTTAAAGTATTTTTGTATAGGTTACAACACCAGTAAGATATTAATCATGCAAATATCACAGTATTGTTATATTACATTGTTTGAAACCTTGTAGCAGAATCTAAATCAAATTTTAATGCATGCAGCAAAATGTATCTTGTATCATAATAACTTAGGTTGATCAAAATTGATTTTATGGAAAAGTGTTCAAACAAACTAATGCTACATTTAATTTAATAGCAGTGTAAATTTTCAGTCATCTAGGATATGGCAACTACAAAACAGGCTTAAGGAGGGGGCAATCAAACTTTGGCTCAGTTTTTGCTGAGGATGTTTCGACACCTATCCAGGAGTGTCTTTTTTATTTTGTGTTGTTTTGCTCAACTTATCCTTAGAAAACGATTTGAATCACTCACCTGAACAGTGCCACTATTTGACAGCCCAATGGCAATATGTGTTCCCTCTGCCTCAAACTTTAGGACTTTGGAAAAACTTTGTACCCCCGTTGGAACTTTTTCCTCAGTAACCATGAAGTGTGAGTGGTTTGAAGATCCAATGACATTAGCAAGTGTCAAGCGACATGCTCCAGGGTACTGGTACATCAGCCCATCAAATGTTTGATATGATCCTGGGCCTCTTATCCAACATGTTGAAAAGCTGTTTGGTTTGCAACCTCTTTCTCCATCCTCCACTGTGCATGACTCATGTTGACCACAGCTGTGAGGGTTGCAGCTCATGGAGCCATCGCTACAACTGCAGCGCCTCCCACAGTCTGCATCCAATATGACAGTTTCTCCTGAGCGGTAGTACTGACCCTCAAAGCTGCAGCCACACTCAGCATGAGGGACACAGACACCACCACTTAGGATGTAGCCTGAATCACAGACACAGCTCTCCTGATTAGGGAGGGGGCAGTTGTGGGTTGAATTAGGGTTGACGCATGTGGCTGGACATCCTGTACCTTGGGCCTCAAAGTGGCTATTAGCTGGGCAAGGGATTTCTAAACACAAGGAAAGGAAGATATTCCTTATTTGTACATTTACCAGTCCTTACACTTTTATAGCAAAATTAAACGGACTGACCGACATACCACAGAAGTTAGAACTCCGCCAGCTTTGTGGCTGGATACCATTTTGTTGACACTGACTTGAGTAGACATTAAGCGCTTGGCACAAAATGGGTTGATACCCTCCGCCGACACACAGATCATACACACAGCTGTCCACAAAGGATCCTGGAGGGAGTTGTTGATGGCAGGCAGCAAACGGTCCTGAACTGTCCTCAAGAATACCACAGTGAGCAGAACTTCTGTACAATGCTGATTGATCTGCTGAGCAGGCGGCACAGGCCAATCCTCCACACTGAGCCTCACAGCCGGGCTCATCATCCCCTGGTGCCTTCCAGCTGTTTGCAAAAACCACATCAGAGCTCACTACTTCACCTTCACGGGTTCGAAAGTCATCTTCAGGGTGATTGTTGAAGTTTCCACATAGGCCACAGGTGTTATTCTGGTACGTGTAGGGCACACTGATCTGGACATAGTGATTCATGTCGTATGACACCATGACACCAAAGTCAGTGCTGACAGTCAGAGAAAAACCTGATTGATAAACTTGGATAGTGCCGTGTCTAAGGGTGAATGGAGCTGTGGCAAAGTTTCCATTAATCTGAGAGCAACAAAAAAAAAAAGGTATAAATATAAACAACACAGGAAAAGCTTACCTTATATTACTGTAAATAGGAAAGTCTTTTTACCTTAGCCACACCATGATGACCTTTAACAAGTTCAATAGTTTCATTATAGACAAAGACTTTGACCAGTCGTGTCCATGAAACATGAGTGCTGCCACGATGCTCGTTCTTGCCCTCCACTCTATAGTAAGGCAACTCATTCTGACACTGTTCTGACAGAACATAAGTACATGTACCCTGAAAGTGAAACACTGAGTTGTCAAAGGTGTAGTAATGTGGATCCCCGCTGATGGTGCAGGTACGTCTTCGCACTGTCTGGCAGGAGTACTGAAAGGAAGCTGGCCGACAAATTTGGGAAAAGGAGCAGGGGTCATTGTAGCACTGCAGCCCTGCCCTGGTGCAGGTGCACTTCTGTGCACAAGTGCTGTCACTCCAGAAAGAGTCCCCAATTTGAACAGACATGTCTTCAAAGAAACAAAACGAAAGTGTTAAAAAGCACCCTACTAATGCTCTTATAGTAATTTTACATCAGCTCCATTTCAAAATGAATTCTAAATGACTATGGATATACAAAGGAAATTTTAACAACACTATTAAATTCCATTAAAAAACAACTTATAATGAGCGTTCACATTGTCAAATATTGAAATAATTTTTTGACAAATGTTTATTATACAAAATTTGTGTTGTTTACCTTTACCACCTAAGTATTCATCTTTTATTTACATTTTTTTTTTATAAAAGGTGCAACAGAGGTACAGATAAAGTTGAAAGTGTTTAGTCATCCAACAAGAAAGCTAATTCTAATTGTAAACATCCGCTATATGCCTAAACATAACCAAATAATAACAGAAATCTGTGACCTTATGAAATATATTTTAGCACATTTTATTTTTACAATGAATAGTAAAAGGGTTCTTTTCACAAAGCAGGTTTAACAAACTAAGATTCAAATCCGCAACTCTAAATTGATCTAGATTAAGGTCAGGAACTCTGAGTTTTCGGTTTCAAAATTGCTGCTATGAATTAGTTCAATCAACTCTTAGTAGGTCCACTCAGAGTTGAACACTCGCTTAACAAGTTTTAAAAGCTATTATCAATGGAACCTCAATACGAAGAGTCACCATGACAACAGGCAACAGGAAGTGCCAATTCCACCCCAATGGAAGTAGAGATTTTAATGATAAAGTGGAAAAAAATAGAGAATGTGTTTAAAAGATAGAAAAACAGCGCTACAGATGCAAAGAAGAGGAAGATGGCAAAGGAGAAAATTGTTGCTTGAGTTAATGCGTAAGTGTATATGCAGTCCTCAATGGCAGGACATTTTTACATGTATTAAAAGCACCCTCATCTCTATTGTTCCATTTGTAGAAAACTAAAATAAGATTCTTCCTGATCAAAATCACATACCTAGACTGAACTGTAATTCACCATGAACGTTTCTTCATAGTCAAAATACTATACTGACCAGTAACAATAGGAATTTGGAGTGCTATAGGCCTAGTTTATTTCTAAACATCCATAATATTTATTCTAGATGTGAAGAATATCATTTTGTTTGAAATTGTAATTTTGACAGGGAAATTTTTTTTTCAGATACTGTATCAGGAATACATATTTAGTATTTAGCAATTTTGATATAGTCGTAAATATCAAGAAATTTTGCCATAGCCTGTTGTCACCACGATAACATTAGAGGTTTATTCCCTGAATGAAAGTTGATCAGTGTATTCTATTTAGGTGAAATCATCTGGCAGCAGATGAGATGAAGTCTAAAACGTTGCTTGAATAGAAGGAACATCCCATGAGATGCTAATCATCTCATGGGATTCTGTCTTCTTTTACACAGCAAATACTAAGAAGCTGTTTGCAGATGTTTCGCATGTTATCATCCAAATAAATGGTCATTATTAGAGGTTATCAGTCCCATGGGATGGCTTCAAATTGTGCCAGTAGGCTCAGTAGTTTGTTATCACTGAATTAATCCTAACCCTAAAGTAATTCCTTATCCCCAGGCAGAATTAACCAATTTATATGTAATCTAAAATTAATTTCAGAAGTCCTTCATGTACTGTAAAAATGAATAAATACAAATTAAATGATCTGCATGCTGCTCATATAAAACAAATTAAAAACAAATATATTTTATAGCCTGTCAACTGAGTTATAGGAATCCTCTCCCTATAAATATTTATTTCTCTGTGAAAAAGTACAGATCATTATTTTATAAGGTCCCCGTCGAACAGACATGCAATGTTTGTTTTTAAAAGCTAATGTGTCTAGTGGACCTAGGGATTGATTTTTTATTTTTTTTTATGCAAAAAAAAAACAAACACAAATCGGACTAATCAGGAAATAAAACAACGTGATTGGCTGTAAGGAGTGCGGACACAGAGGACACTCTAAGTTTACTGAACAAAACGTGCACCCGACCAGCTTAGCTCTGGGGAGAATGTTGCTACGGTGACTGAAACAGAGATTGATTAAACTCAATTTGTAAAAATGGAAAACTCAGAGTTTACCATATTTCAGGTTTATAAAACTTTGAGTTTTCAGTAATTCTGCTTTGTGAAATGGACCCCAGGGGCAATCAAACTTGTATTCTTCAGCTTTTAGCAGTAAATGTGTACTGTACTTATTTTTAAGCGGAAACTTGGACTTTTTAATGGCCTAAAATCATTTTCCCTTACTTTTTGTAAAATGAAAGCATATGCTGTGTTCAAATTCATTGTGGACAGCTTCTAAAACATTAGCATGTATGAATTTAAAACACACATTGTAACTGCCTGAATCTCAAAAGTTTTATCAAATTTTTTTTTTTATTGTAAAAAATTAGGTGCAAGGTAGAAATGTTTATAAAAAGCATTCTTAAGAGAGTAAATAACTCCGATGGAAGTGATACAGTGTAAAAACTATAGCAGCTCAAACTACTTCCATTTTTTAGATGTCTCTTTAAAACACCGTTGACATATTTTGTGGTTGATTATATTTATCCTATATTGTCTCTAACTGAAAGTAAGCATAATTATCCATCATACTGATATTTGCACTTGCACTGCAACAGATCAGCAGTTTGTAAGTGTGCTACACATATATATCTCTTACTTTGAAAAGTGCAGCCTCTTGATCCATGATCAAGTCTGAAAGCCCAGCGACCAGGCACGTTGACGTTACTACCATCACGGAAAACTGAGTAATTGCCTAAAACATTACTGGAGAAGGATCCAGGAACAGTGAGATGGTGAGTGGAATTGATTGTGTCATATCCAACCTGAAAATACAGAGTTATATTTAATATTTAAATCTTAAAACTTCTGAGTATTAACATTCAAAGTGAAAGGTGGAGATTTAAGGTTTAATACCACATCATTTGCATTTAGGAGCTCCAGGCAAAGCAAGTTTGTTTATAGAGCACATTTTAGGAGTAAGACTGGTTGTACCACAAAGAAAACAAAAAAATTCCAAAAAACAATTGAAAAATACTTAATAGAAATACACATTAGATAATTATTGAATATCACTTAATGAAATAATTAATAAAATTAATGAAGCAAAAAATTAAAATGAACAATTAAATCGAACCTGTACATTCCAAGATGGAGGGGTTATTTTACCATAGTTCATCAGTACAAAGGAATACTGGCCCCCAGATATCAAGACAGCCTGGACTGTTGTTCGCTGAAAATAAACAAAAATATTGTAATAGGATGTTTAGAGAAAAACATAGACATAATACATTTCAAAGAGTAGAACAAAAACCTACTGCACTCTGGTGAAGCCAATAGGGCATTTCATACCAAGTTGCTACAAAGACCCAGTTAGCATTAAAGTTGAATTGTGGGAAATATTTGTTGATGTCCTCTGTTGCCTGGTTGAGAATGCTGCCATTTGTGTATTGCTTATAGTACACCAGACCGGTCCATGTGTTGTCAAAGTCAGTCCAAAATGGAGCAATTATGTCCCTGCTTCCATACATTGGAAAACTTTGAGGTATGTACATCCACCATGGACTGTCAAAGGTCATGTGTCCATTATGGTTCACCTAAAAAAAAAAGGGGGGGAAAAAAATGATCTGGTAAATTCAGAAACTATTCTTCATTTCAATATGTTTGACATTCTTGACATACATAAATCTGATTATACTGCGTTCCAAAATACACAAAAGGTCGTTGTAGAATAATCTGAGGGGAGCTTCCATCAAGAGCTGGTTGAGTTGTCTGTCCAGCAATTGGGTAAAGAGGTCCTTTAAATACAAAAAATAAAGAAAGAAACACATTGAAAACAAATTGAATACACGTATTTATGAAACAGATCTTTGGCCTAAAATATTGGTAATTAAATCACTCCAATTCTGCTAAAATTCTGTAATATACAAACTCAGCTGGGACACTTCAAGATCTTTTTGCAACATATTAAACACTAACATTCTTTAGAAAAAAAAAA